TGGGGTCCTGCTGGCGGTTGGGGCAGGTCTCAGACTTGGACTCTTTGTCCTTTATGAAAGGCTTGTTTTGAATAAGGAAAGGAATATTATCTAGATTTAAAAAAAAATCCCAGGAACGAGCTCAAGGAGAGACTTGGAGTTATAAAAAACAGCTGACAGACTCCTAAAAGCCAGAGAGGAGAAACGAAGCGGAGAGAAAATGAGGCTCCTTGTGGTTCTGTCTGGCTGGGCTGGAAGACAGGACTGTGGGGTGGGGGAGGGAGTTGGCTCTGCAGAAGAGCCCCCAGACAGAAAAGGGCCTTATTCTTCCAAGAGCCCAAACTAGGGCACAGTCTTGGAGTGGAGGCCGGAAAAGAAGGGAGAAATTAGGAATCCTAGCTCTCCAGTGGGCCTGTCTCAGGCCCAAAGGGGTGGGGAACACAGAAAATCTGGGAGTCGAGGCCCTAGGCTTGTGCCAAGCTAGTCTGAGTAACAGGACACACTGTGTGTGCTTGGCTGGAGGTGGAGAACTATAGGCAATGGGGACAAAGCGGAGGGCCTGGGCGCTAGTGCCCGAGAGATTGAAGAAGTCCTCCCCATTACATTCTGCCCTCTTCAGGATGCTATGGCACAGTTGAGCCTTAAGCTTCCTAATTAGGCAAGAGGCAGACCTGGCTGGAGGGAGTTGGGGGAAGGGTTAAGCCCACTCAGTCACACAGAGCAAGCCAGGTGCTGTGGACCAGAGGGTAAAAAGGCTCCCCTGCTCCCTTGGAGACTGCTGCAAGCAGGCCCCTGCTCCTTTGGCAGGGCCTCTTGTGGAATTCAGGCCTTAGCCAGAAATCTCTGCTTTAGACCCCAGAAGGTCTGAGGGAGGCTCAGGAAACCTGGCGGCTGCTCTTCAGGTTTGGCAAACTCAAGATTTTTCCAGCGCCTTGTGTTCAGCAAAACTGAAAATGTGTTTGGCCAGAAAGAAACCCTTCCCTAATTTTTAAACCCTGGTGCATCTTTTACATAAATTTGATCCACATGGTTTTGATTTATTTATATTTAATTCGTCAAATCAAATTACGAGTTACAATGATGAATGGAAACAATGGTAATTTCCAAGAAGGATTTTGAGCCCTTTTTCTTAGAATCAAATCACATTTCTTCACCCTCCCCCTGCCCCACAAGCCCCAGTCCTTAAAACTACCAGACTGAACTGGATTTGGAATTTAGAAGCCAAATGTGAAATAAAGATCCATGCTCGGCAGAGTCAAAGCATAGCAGGGAAATACTCCGAGGGAGGCACAGAGAGTGCAGGGGGGGTGCTTGTGTGTGGAGGGGGAGGTAATGAAGACGGGGCGGGAGTCTGTGCTTCTTCATTAGATGGCTTAAATAAATTAACCTGCCTTTCTGGGATCACAACAGAAGTGGCCGAGCCATTTCTCTCTTGGGTATGATTTTAGCACCAGCTCCTGAGTGAAGGGTTTTAGCCTTAAGGAACGAAGATGGGGGTGGGCCGGAACGGCACAGACTGCCTCCTTTTTCTGTCCTAACCTCCACAGTAGTCAATTCAACTGCCCCTCTCCTAACGGTACCCTTCCCCCCTCTCCTGACTCTGGCGAAGGCCCCTCCATCTGGAAACATTTAAAGTGTGTATAACAAATTTAATCTTGCGCAAGAGATCTCGGTATATACAGCACATATCCATTAAGCTAAATTGTAGGCATGCAATCGTATTTTACACAGTTCCGTCTGGCCTCGTTGACATACACACGGCGACCATTGCTGTCGTTCCCAATTCCCCGTCCTATTACACCAGCATCTTCCCCTGTAGCTCAGGTCAACAGTGTTTCTCTGAGAAACTCTAGCCACTGAGGTAATAAGACCAAGAATTCATGCTCAAGACAGAGGTGTCCTCCGCAAGCCATAGAACCAGTACCTGGTGCATCACTCTGACCCTAACCGTAGACATTGCTTTACCTCGGGTCTTATTGCCATGACACTAATTAGATACGGGTTGTAAGTGCCCACTTGCTACATGACAGTTATACAACTTGGGGAGGCATTTTATTTTCCGAGTCCCAGTGGTCCAGTGTACAGCATCAGTACAGTGATTGTTTATCTCCCTGGTCTGCCAGGAATGAGATGTTGCCTGTAAAATCCTAAGTATGTTAGGGAGACAGTCTAAAAGTACAACCTCTCAGTTAAACATGAGAGACATGTCTCTGACACCTAGTCTGAGCACAATGGCCACGGCCAACAATCAGTCCGGCAGATTCCCGTTCCGGAGGACCTTTGCATAGTCAGTGTTTCCTAAGGCTGACAGCAGCAATACGGCTGGATGCTCTAAAGTCTAACTGCACCGCACGACTGTCTTCCAAACCACGCTGAGCGACTCTCCCCTCCCGTAGAGAAGGATCTCCAAGTGTGCAGGGGGAGGGAGCCTGAGAAAGAAGTTTTAGGGCTGCTGGGAAGAGCAAAACCACTTAATTAGTGTTTCCTGAGCTCTCCAGGGAGGCTTCTGTTAGAGGACAAAGGTGAGGGTGCCGGTTCACAAGTCACAAGTCGGATGGATGCCTTTCCCCCAAGGGGGAAAGTACAGTTTTATGAGCCCGGTTACAAACCCTGTGCTCAGTGGAGTTCAAAGGAAACAGAGTTCAGGGTTCAGAATTTATTACTTTCCTCTGGTGAGAAGCAGCTTTAGCAGTAATTCCCCGGTCCTGATGTTGGCCAGCCTGGAGGGATGAGGAGCTCCAGGGCACTTCGGACATTCTGTCCAACTGTGGTCCTTACTATGTAGAACAGCTTCAGGAGCTCAGCAAGAAAACACCAGTCGGCTCTGGATGTGGACCGCTACCATTTCCACTAAGTCAGCTTCACGGATAACCCCAGGGTCTATCGGGAAATATGTGTTTCACGCCCAGCGTTTAGGCCTAGAAATTTTCATGCCAGCTCCAACTCTGACACTCTCAAAAGGAACTGTCCCTGTTTAGGGTTCTGTTGGGGACCGGGCCTGAATGGCTGCCTGTGTCCATGGAGAATATTGGAAGAGGCACATGGTCTGATGGGCAAACAGCTGGCCTGGAAGTCACCTGTACCTGTTAGAAAAGGGGAGCTGGGCCCATCAAAACTCTTCTCTACAATGTAGATACATGGGCGGGGTGTGGAGCTGGGTTGCTTGTGACACGTGGAACATGGCTGGCTAACTGAATAGCAGAACTTCCCTCACAGGCTTTTGCTGAGGTAGTTCCTGCAGGGCTGTTCATTCCAGGCCCACTCTTGCAAAGCCTGGTTATTTAAATATTCATTTTGAAGACATCAGAAGTACGTCTTCTGATATAAGTAAACACCCCATTTTTGGGTTATTCTGAGTGAATTTATGTTTCCCACAATCAAAACGACCTACATTAGAATAGTACCTACTGAGTGGGGTAGAACCTCACACCTACAGTTAGTTGGTTGGGAGGCTAAGACAGGAGGATCCTGAACTTGAAGTCAGCCTGGGCAATAAACAAGACCCTGTTCAAATTCCCTTCCCCAGCACACACTAGTGTGTGTGTGCACGCATGTGGCATGTATATCTCAGTGACAGAACAGGCAATGAGCTGCCACCTCCAATATACAGCTTTCCCCTAATCCTAGCACCTACTCTGGAGCAGACCGTGCAGATGGACTATGGTTATACATCTGAACATTCCCAGTATAACATGGGGCTTTCTTTAATAGCTCATTTTTCACAGTCTGGCCAACAATGCTGGTTTCTGACTTGCTCGTCTCTACCGCAGAAATTGGGAACTAAAGTTTTCTCTCTCCCAACCTCCTCTGCAGCTGGAAGAGTGACATGGTTTTAATCAATGAGACGTAAGTGAGCACAGGTAGGGAGAGAGCCTGTTCCCACACTTTTCACGAAAGCCTTATGCTTATGGGTGCAGGGGGTACCCACGATGCCCTGCCCCTAGCTGAAGAACTACTGAAGCTAGTGGCTGTTGGAAGAGGGAAGTCATTTTGCTTTGTATGCTGTTCATTCTAGTGGATAACCTGACACCTATGGACATCTAGGCAGCACTAACTGGACTCAGTGGGTTATAGAAGGAGGAGGAGGAGGAGAAACAAGGAGGAGAAGAAGAATTCAATGTTACATTTATAACATTTCAAGAATTTTAAAAACTTTTCTATTTTTTAAAAAATAGACAAAATGAAAAATATATTTTTTTTACTGAACTTCTCCAAATGACACTTGAACAACACAAGTTCTCTGAACAGCTGAGCTACAAGGTACTGAGCAAAAATATTTCCTGTGTACATGTATTGCCCTGTGTACATGAAGAGCTGACAAAGACAAGACTGCCATCTGAGGAACCCTTTAATACAGTTCCTCATGTTGTGGCGATCCCCAATCATAAAACTATTTTCATTGCTATTCCATAACTGTAATTTTGCTATTATGGATCATAATATAAATATTTTTGGAGATAGAGGTTTGATCAAGGGGTCACGACCCACAGGTTGAGAACTGCTGCCTTCGGAGGTACATTTGATCTAAACCACAGAGAGAATTGGACGCTGTGGATGGAATCAGGGCATTCCTGGCAAGACTAGATACAAAACAAACAAGCATGAGAAACTGAAGGTCATGCATGGTAACTGAGTTCATCTGGTTTGTGCAGGGAAACAAATATCTGATTAGAAAGTCAGATCAAATGACAAGCCTGGAATGACAATTGGAGTTGGGTTGTGCTCCAAGCCACGGGGTGCCAAGGAAGACTGCTGAGACATGAACATGTCTTTGGGAAGAGTCACTTCATAGTAATGCGTGGGAGGAACTGAAGGAGGGGGCATGGAGACAACACAGCTCACTAAGCAAGAGATGGGGAGGGTATGAATCCAGGTGGTTGCAGAGAGACCGGGGTGACATGAGACGCACTGGTACACGTAAGTCCTGCTGGCTGTTGTTTGGATGTGGAGTGTTGGTCAGGGAAAGCAGAAAGCACAACTATTTTACTGTACAAAATAGAAACAAAAATTTCACATAGTACCTCTGGAGCTGAAGACAGGAACGGTTTTATGTAGATGTTGGAGTCATGAACCTTCAGGTCATGGTCCCCAAGTCCCCTGGTCACTCCAATAGTTGCCATTACCCGGGCCTAGGAATATAAGCAGAGAGTTACCAGAAATACACACAGTGGCAGCATCCTGTCCCAAGTCCTCTTGCTTATCACTCTAGGCCATTGGTACAGACTGTCGGGACAGACTGCTCATCACAATTGCACTGTGTGGTGTCACCAAAGTCACTGCTGGATCTTAGGCTTTAGCAGGTTGCTCTGCTGCGTGTCCTCCGCTTCCTTCTATAAAGTCTGAACTGAAGGGGCCTGAAAATAAACCTAACTGTAAGGCATGCATAATCTACAGCTGCTGAAATCAGTTCATACTAAATCAAGAGCATCCACCCAGCCATGATTTATCCATCCATCCAAACACGCCCCCTCTACAAGTATTCGCTGGGCAGCAGCTACATCCTTAGCAATATCAGAGGCAATAATAGAAGGCGAAGCAAGTCTGGGGCAGCTCCTGTCTTTGAGAATTTCAACTATTAAGTTTTATGGCCTGAGGAAATAAGTCTTTAGTGACTCCATGATCTACCTCAATATTCTTACAGATCCTTTCGGGTGAAAGGAACAAAACGCCCAGACTGCTAGGCTGTAGCCTCATGCTTTCTCTAAACTTGTTAATGATGGTTTATGAAATTAACATATTGTGTTATGGAATTAACATATTTTGTCAGTATCTACAGAGTCACCTTAAATATCCCCTAAAGCACCTACTACGTGCACACACCATGTGGAAGGGACAGAAGATTTCATCTTGGTAAAGGAGGCAAGAGGTACATATCTAACAAATATATAAAATGTGCTTAAGTTCTGGAAGGCACACAAACAAAGGGATGTGTGAATTTTGAGGAAACACAAATTCTACTGAGAAGCTCTCACGGTGGAGGCAACACTATGTGGTGCCAAAAGATACAGCATCAGACAGGCAGACACAGAGTGATAGATTGCCCGTCAGACTGAGTGACATGCAGCCTAATGGCACTAACATTAAGTCTCCAACAATAGAGCCCAAGTAGTGCTGCGGCTCTAAGACCTGAGCTGGGATTTCCCTCTATTACTTGAGTAGTAACTACCTCATAGAGACAAGGATGAGGGAAATCCAAGAAGAAACACTAAGTTTCGGGGCAGGTTGAGAGGCACTTGCCACCAAGTGACAACCTAAATTTGATCCCTGGGACTCACGTGGTGGAGGGAAAAAAACTGCAAGTTGTTCTCTGACTTTTAACACATGACCTGTGGCTCATAAATAAATAAATATAAAACAAAATAAAACAAAAACAAAGAAAGGAAGGAAGGAAGGAAAGAAGAAAGGAAGGAAGGAAGACACACTATAATCCAACATAGTTTCTTCACCCTTGTTTTTTGGAAGCACAGTGAATTGGTGGTAGTCTCAAGTCAGAAGGTATACATGGCTTATAATACTGCAGAAATGAGATTATGCTACTTATAGGGGCTGGACTTGAAACAGGATGTCACACCAAGGCTCAGGATGGCCCTCAACTCACTGCAATCCTCTTGCTTCAGTGCTGACCACCATGTCGTGTGTGTGTGTGTATGTATGTGTGTAAGCAGTGTGCATGTGTACCACGGGGATGTGTGATGGTCAGAAGACAACCTTCAGGAGTTCTTTCCTTTCACCAAGTGTGCTCCAGGGACTAAACTCAGGTTACCAGGCTTGGTGGCAAGTGTCATTACCCACAGAGCCACCTTGCTGACCCCCATGACACATCTTAGGTCCAGATTCAAAGGGTATATAGGCTGGATGGGTCTCATTCCAGTTAAGGAGTGTTCAGCTTGACATGGGCACATTCTCCATCTCTCTTTCCTGGCCCTTCTGCCTTCTCCCTGCTGCAGTAGCTTCTCTGGCTAAAAACCACCCGCCCATGTTTGGAACAAAGAATGTAAATGCTGCTGGAAGTGACTGAACTTGTTTACACCTATACAGGTGTTGCCCACAAGGCTACTTAGAAGAATTTCTGGAAATAAAACATAGCAGCTGTGAAAATACCCTGCCATGCCTGAGTAGAAGTTTGTAAAGAGGAAAAAACAAAAAACAAAAACAAAAACAAAGACAAAAACAAAAAAAAAGTTACAGGACTCCAAGAAACCAAGGAGAAGTGAGACAAGGATGGTGTGTCTACTTTCCTCCAGGGTGGAATAGAGACATGCATGATAGCATTCCATAGAGCAACAGGCTACATACCAGGTAGTGGTCCACACAACAACAGGCTACAATGTAGCTTTCCACAGTGTAATAGGCTACAATGTGGCTTTCCACAATGTTAACAGACTACAATGTAGCTTTCCACAGTACTAAAGGCTACAAAGGCAGAACTCCCCCACCACTTGCCACAAGACGGCCCTTCTTCTTGAGCCCATTGAGAGGCTTTGGGACATTTTGGTGAATCAGACATTTCATTTAACCCAAATATTTCAATCTCATCGTTGAAGCCATGCTTACTTGTACAAGGCCAAGCCTGCTAAAATCCCAGCATGGGTGGGGGAGGGGCTCTGCATGCCTCACCCCTTAGAGAGGAGTTAATCGGCAGTCATTAATTGCTAGGGCAGGGAGAATCACTCTTTTTTGAGGGTGTGGTCAATGCTAGGTTTCCTATGCTCCAGGGGATGGCCTTGTGTCATGGACTTAAGGGCAGCACTAACGGGATACTATAACAAAAAACAAAACAAAACAAACAAAAAAAAAAAACAAAAAACAAAAAAAAAACCCAGCAAGTGGAATATGTTGGAAAGGATATGGAGAGGAAAAATGGAGTGATGGATATCGTGCTTTATTGTAGACATGTATGAAATTCTTAAAAAGAAAAATTATTTTTGAAAAAAAAAACCAAAAATCTTCATGCTGATTTCCTTCTAAGGGAGACAGCAGTCCATTTTCCTGTTCAGGAGAGCTTGTGGAACCTAAGCGAAGAACTGTCTCAGTACTGACACGTGTAACCAGGTCAGGGACTGGGAGGGACAGTCTGGACCACGCTAGAGACCTTGCTTTGATATTCTTGTGAGTCATTTTTTTCTGGGTAAACACTATCTAATACTCATAGACAACTCGCTTGAAGACTCATCTTCTTGTGGCCACACTGCCTACTTCTAATTGAAACTCTTAGCTCTGACTGCAGTGAGTTGGGTTCGTAGGAAGTTTAATCGGGTGTGGGCTCAAAACTTAGGCATCTCAGCACGGACATCCGAACTTCCTACACGTCTGCTCACACATCTCATGTCTACAGTCTTCTTTGGGTTCAACCGTGTCATTCAGTGTTTGCGTTTGACGGGGGTGCTGGCACTCAGTGATGACTCTGTTATTGCAGTCTGGGCTCTTGGTCCTGGGGTGTAATTGCAATGACGCTTTGGAGTCCTTTTGTTGGGGCAAGTAGAAAAGTCTACTCACAAAGTTCAAGCATCAGTGGTGGGATGAAAGGATGCTAGCCGAGAGCAGAAGGCCAGAGTTCCACACCGGGGCTGTCCTCTGCTGGTGGTGTGGTTCTGCTTGGGCGGTTTTAATCTTGCAGCCTTGTCTACCGAGCAGAGGTAACACAGCCAGCTTGATTTGCCTCTGAGCTTATATCGGTTATAAGACAGGGTGGTGTGTGTGTAAGTGGCTGTGTTTAAACCGTAAAGAGTGACTCAAATGGGTAGGGAAGGGGATGCTAGATTCACAAAATTGACTGCTCACCAACACCCTCAGATTCTGCTACTGTCTGGACCCACAAGGTAGGTGACCTGAAGAATGATGGATGTGATGCTTGTTTAAGTTGTTATGGCTATAAAATCCCAAACTCCGGAGTGACAAACACAAACTGCCACAGGCTCAGTGTACACGGGGCTCCAGACACCCCTCTCATTCCAGGATGAACACGCCACAGGCTCAGTGTACACGGGGCTCCAGACACCCCTCTCACTCCAGGACAAGTGTGAGCCTACCTTCTTGCCTTCTCCATATATAAGAGGAAACTTCAAGTCGTCATCCTCAATGGTTTTGTATGCCCTGGAGGAGGATAAACACCATTTTAAAATAGGCTTGCACTCAATTAATGACCCTCTGCCCTGACACGGAACCTCATTTTCCTAGAGGTTCCATCCATGTACTGCATTGTCTGCCTCTTTGTTTATATAGTTTATATAGTCATTCTCCATACAGAAATGTGTGTGTGTGTGTGTGTGTGTGTACTTTGACAAGCCAGGAACTATTAAGTTTTTGTATTCTTAAAGAGGGAGAAAGCTACTTATCATTAGTGAGACCGGGGAGACAGAGTTCTGTTCTTAGAGCCTTTGTGATAATGAAGCGGTCCAGCAGCCGCTGAACTCTTCCTGCAGCCTGAAACCATGATAAACAGCAGTGCTCTGGGGTAAATGGAGTGTGCACACCCTCCGAGAGCCAGTTCTCACCTTCAGGGGATGTTTACATCAAACATCCTCTATTGGGATGACTGGGGTCGGAGGACACAGCACTCGTTTGACCTCTGGATGAGAGTCCTGGTTGGCAGAAAATTGTTTCACAATAGCTTTCAGAGGGCCATTCGCCACACAGAAAACTACTTCATACTTCATCAGTTTACAGCAGACATCGGTGTCTAGATGTCACTGCCAGCGAATGAAACCATGTGTCCCCACATCTGCCCATAAGCAAATTCAAAAACAAACAAGCAACCATCATAGCCAGTTAGTAGCTATGTCCCCTGGCCAAAGCAGGTCTACCCTTCTGTGTTTCTTTTCCTCATTTGTAAAGTGCGGATTATGCACAAGATACAAAGGGCTCAGCAGAGAGCCTCCGCTCATTAAGGACCCAATTAAGGGCAGCTATTAGTAGAATGTAGCAGGTAATTAATTTTTTGGTGTAACACTTCCCCTTTCTGCAAGATGGGAGGGATATCACTACCCACTCACCAGCCCAGGATGACGTGTGCTGGGTCCTCAGGACTTCCTCAAGAAAACAAGGTCAAAAAGTTATGAGGAAAAATAAGTACAAACAGGGTGGGGCAGATTTGAAATGCGTGGAGAAAACCCATTTATTGAATGACCTCCCAGACCTACACTTCAGGCAACTAGAGAGTGAGGGTGAATCAAAGGCATGGGCTCTCTTGAAATATAGAAGCATCCAACCCAAATTCGAAGGCACCGAGAAGAAGACACAATGGCCCATGACAAAGATGCCATGCTGGGACTCATTCACTACATGCTAACCTGAAAATTAAAGGTTTTTGAAAGCATGCACCTTCAAGGTGAAAGGAAGCATGCCCTGCTGTCCAGGGCCCTATTTGCACACGCCAGTCTTTCCCAGGTGAGAGAATCAGTGACGTTTTGCCACCAAATCCACCCGGGTTCAAGTTCAGCGCTGAGTAAGTGAATGTAGTCTCTGGACCTCAGTATCCACATCAATCAAACAAGGAGAGTCAGCAACGACGGACAGAATTTAGTATGTGCTCAGCACAGCTATGCTCAGAGAGCAGCAAAGCTGCTGTAGTCCCTGGCAGCTGAGCCCAGAGTCACCCAGAAATTGAGTTTTCAAGGAAATAAAAAAAAAACAAACAACAAACCATAGTATTTCCTTCCATTAAACCTATCAAATTAACACAAAGTGGAAATTAGCCACTTAGCTGTTTAATATACTCACATGAACTATTTTAAACACTGAGGGACATAAGCCACTTGGGGAGGTAAATAAAGCTATTATTAGACTCTAGCCCCAGCTTAGGGATCAACTGCGCTGAGTGGCTCTCACCCTTGGCTATATAATGAACCACCTGCAAGGGCTTTAAAACATCCTGAGGCCCCGGGTCACAGCACGGAGCAATTAAAGTTGATTCTCTGGGAAAGGGGCATGGGCATCAGGTATTTTGTTTTTAAACCTTCCAAGGAAAACACTACCATACAGCTATGTTGGACTCTGCTGTAGACCAAGCTCCGGTGAGTTTACACTGCAGGCAAATTAAGCAGGGAGGCCCTCATCAGTTTGACTACTGACAGGAGGGACTGGATGGCTCCAAAGAGGGGAAGGAAATGGGCTGAGAAAGGCCCTCAGATGAGAGTGAGCAGGCATTCAAAATGCTGTGCGGGTGAGAAGGCAGTCTTGACAGGGCGGCGATGAGGTAAGAATCAGACACAGGGAATGGCCAGCCTTGGGATGCCAGCACAGGAGTTTGGAACTAGAGAGGAGGCAGAAGGCAGCGGATCCCAGAATCAAGGGCAGGGAAACACTCCCTAGAGACTGGCTACAAGACTGGCTTGGGAAGGCAGAGAGAAAACTGCTCCAACTCCACCATAAGTTCATCCTGTCAAATCCTCTCAGGACAGAGGCCAGCAGGATCACAAAATCACACAGCTCGGAAAGACAGACACACCACACTGCCTTTGCAGTGGCTACCCCAGGATCAAGGCAACTGCAAAATTCGACATTATACTTTAGCTTATTAATCTATCCTCAGAACAAGAAATTAAAGGAGAAACAAGGACTAGCCAGGTGGCTCAGTTGCTTGCATGAAGCCCAAAGTGCAGCTGTAGTGCCAGCAGCTGGGAGGTGGGAGAGGGCGGATCACAAGTTAAAAGGTATAGAAAGGTTATCCTTGGACATACAGTGCATCCTCAGCCAGCCTAGGCTACAAGAGACCCTATTTCAAAATGAATTAAAAACAGAAATGAACAACCTTAGGAAAAGAAAGAGTTATTCTGTTCCCACTGGTGTTGGTTTTCAATCAAACACGAACCCTTTCTCCTCCAGCGACAAACAAACACCATCATTGTACTGAGAGAGTGCACAACGGCACTTTCTCCCACACATTCTTCCTGGGTATCAAGCACAGCGCATTCTGTAAGGGGACGTCTGTGGACCAATACAGAGCCTGAAGAATAACATGAAATGAAATACTTGGGACTGGGGTGTTGCTTAATAGGAAAGCTCACGGTGGGCTGGAGTGATGCCTGGGTTTGAATCTCAGCAGCAAAAACCAAACAACAATCAAAAAACCCTCAAGAATTGACAACTGGCAACCAGGTGAGAGTGTGTATAGGGCTAAGAATAAGCCCAGCAGATTTAATTTATTGGGGCAGATACTGGACTTGGTAGTTATGCATAGCTTCTAAAATCTGTCAGAGACCTCATCTCACTGATGGGGAAACTTCCCCAAGATCACACATTAAGTGAATAGCTGTAACCCAGGAAACACCCCGAAGTATGACAGCAGGGCTAACCTTTGGGGACGTTTGCCTCTGGCCAATGAGCCTGACATGAGACAACTCGGAGTGGGTGGTCAGCAAATATTTGGTGAGGAAGAGAGAACCTGGGCGAGTGAGGACAGAACACTTTCGGAGTGTCAAGAGAACAAATCTACAGGGAAGAGGGCGGGCTACCACAAGCTCCTGCAGTGAACTGAGCTGCTTTGTACCCTGCCTTCCCTGCTCTGATGAACTGCAACCACCTTGAAATCATGAGGAAAACAAGTACTCCCGACTCTTATGCTGCTCTGTTAAGTGTTCAGTCACAGCAGTGCACAGGTCACAAATCTTCCCCTACACTCATGAGTTCTGCGAGAGAGGACATTTTTGATTGGGTAAATCTAATGTTCCTGGTACCTCAACACATTATGGTGCTTAATAAATTCTTGATCATTTAAGCAAATCGATGTGTTCTACCTTCCCCAGCAGAGACTTTTCATGCCTTCCTATTCTCCTTTTCAGAACAGAAACCAAAGACTTCCTTGCATGCAAGGGGAGTTCACAGTTCATAGTCTCAAAGTTGTGAGCTTCATCCATCTTTCTTCCTGTGCTTGCAGGCTCTGTCCTAATCCGTGGAGCCTCAGACCTTTCCTGAGCACTTACCTCAAGAGATCTCTGTGTAGTCACAGAGATCATTCTAGCTATTACCGGGTGAGCATTGTTACAGTACTCCTTCACCAAGAACACATCTGGCCAACCCCTGGGTCAGTTTTGTAATTCTCATCAGAAAAAGCTTAGCCCAGCAGGCTGACCTGTAACAAATCTCTCAGCATCATTGCTCCTCTCCCCACCCCACCCACACTTACCTTCACATAACCCATCTATGAAAACCTTCCTGATCTGGCACTGGTGCCCTGGGATGCTTTCTTCCTGGTCGCTGTTTCTTTAACAACATGAGACTCTCATTCCTTCTTCCTCGGCTGCTCTACCCCTAGATCTCCCTCTCGTCCTAGAAGAAAATGCTACCTCTGGCCACACAAACCATAGTGCTTCCTGCTGCTCACTGCCCCATGCGATCCTTCACGCTGTACACTTAGCGCCCTGTGAATTAGCTTACTGTGTCCGCTCCATCCCCATTCTGAACATTAGTTCTATGAAGACATTGACTCTGTAGGTTCTGCCTGCTCTTCACGCTGACAGGCAGGCAGGTAAGCACACTGTGGACTGAACCCAGATGCGAGCAAACGTCTGAGTGAATGAATGATAGTTGGCCCTTCACCTGCAACTGCTGAGTTCCTCTCTAAGACGGTGTGCCATTGCCTTAGTATTTCTATTCACCTTGCCTTCAGCAGACATTTCTCTGAAAATCAGAGCTAAATTCTCTCTTAAGTAGAACTCTTTATATTAAAATTGTAGATTCTCTTTCATGACCTATACATATTAATAGATAGTTACAAAGTAATTAAATCACCATTTATGGTTCTTCAAATGACTGCTTTCTACAGGTAATTCCTAAATATCCTTTGGGATGGCCATTTTTAAAAGTCACAGTTCTGCATGCTGTTTAGTGTTGCCAAGACACCGTAGCAACTTCAGTTTATATTGACTGACATACATAATTTACATTAATTTGGTTTAAAGGTCTGCTGCCCACTTGAGGAAGTATCTTATGACATGCGCTGTGATGTCTGTCTGCAGTCCTATCTACTTTGGGAACTGAGGCGAGAGAAGGGCTTTAGCAAGGACTTTTAAGAGAAATGAATTCCAAGCAAAAGGAGGGAGGGGAAGGAGAAGAGGAAAGAGAAAGGAGAAAGTCAAAAAAGAGAATGAAATTCT